TTAATGAAGGCCAAGCATTTTCCCATATCACATTCTTTCATGGGATTTTCGATGAAGCAAAGTTGTATTTGTCATGAAAATTGGCGACATTACTTATTTTTAGTTCATAAGTAGAGTTTCGAGACTACCAGTAACTCCGTTATATGAGATGTATTTACTTTGAAATTCACATCCGCCCTCTGACCCAAGGGCACTCGTGACAATGTGGCCTAATGATTAGCGTGTCGAGTAGGTAGTCTCGAAACCCTACTTATATATGAAAACTACGTAATAATGATAGTCTGTTCTGATGATTGTTTGACACTGTCCTCGAAACAATCTCCCCTGGTTCCGATATCTGCTACATGTCAATTCTTACAACCACTTCAAATCAACTTGCCTAATTTCTAAATACTGTATATACCCCCAGGCCATATGAATGGATTTTTGAGCCTTAGAGAGATTTGGGAAGTTCATATAAGAAGACAGTCCTAAACCATTTGTGCATGCATGCTTATTTGTGTATGTGTGTGCGTATGCCTGAGTCAGGGTTCGAAGTCAACAGCCATTTAAGTAAATTTGTGAAATTGGTATATCTGCAAATGCCTACTGATACCGACCCTATAATAAGTTTCTATACATTCAAGTTCAATGAGCTACTCAAATGCTAGCACCCAGTTTGGAAGATGGCCCAAATAATAAGGATGGGCTAAACCAAAGCGAAAATTCCGTTTCAGAAATACTTCGTCTTTAGTCCTAAATTAAATAACCAGATGCAAGGACTCACAGTGGGATTTTACCTAAAAGCATTTTGGCTAAAAATTAAATGTCAAAGAGGGAAGAACGCATTGTGGAAGAGTTTTATCAAATTCATGTGTGTGACAGGGATTCGAGACCTGACATTAATATTAAAGTGTACAATATATATTTTTCGCATCAAGTATTGTTTCGAGACTACCATTAAATCATTAATACGAGATGTATTCACCCAATTTCATTTAAGGTGATAAAGGACTAGTAGAAGAAGAAATTTTTCCACAATGATATGAGTTAAGCTGACTTTTCCATTGAATTTCACATAGCCTTGCTTTACCAAAAGTTGTTCTCATCGAGGCACCAGTGGACTACAGTTTTGACCTCGAATCGGTCTTATAAACACCCTCAGCGGGAATCGAACCGTGACAGTGCAGGATGGGAACTTGACACGCTAACCACTCGGCTACACTGCCAGTGAAGCCGAGAAATGTGATAAAGAAACGACTATTCTCTGTCAATTTCTCATATTCATTCGTCGTTTGGCTGTAGCTGGAAGCACTGCTTGACACAGTAGAACCAGAAGTTTTATGAGTTAAATTGTTTAGTCAGTCTTGGCTGCCTAAAATTATAAAGGACAGCTGGCGAATTGTTCCACAATGAAAGAAGTAAACCTCAGGATGCTATTCCCTTCAAAATGTGTCCTAATTCAGGCTTACTCCTCCGTCTTAAGCGACCAACGATGACTAAGGTTCTTATTTAAAATCTACTGATATTCGCGAAGTTTTCACAATTTAAATAAAAGTTATATTGCAGACTGCCAAGGCAATTACATGTTTGTTTTAGGGAAATTTCCACTATGCGTTATGTATAAGGTCTGGATTGCTTTTAAGTTCAATTCTGCTGTGGGTCCTGGTGGAATCCAGATGAGGTTAAAACTGCAGCCCCCTACAGTTGCCCTGGCAACAACGAACCCTCCGCATCATCCGGGCAGTCAAGACCTTTCAGGAGACAAGGCAGCTGGAAGCGGGGCTCCGTCTCATCTCAAAGCGATTGGTGCATGTAAGAGTTTTGCTGAATGGAGGACTGTAACTCACGCAACCATGTCCTGTTCCGGCCAGTCCGTCAGGCTCTGACGCCTCGACTGCTTCGACGAGGCTACCGAGAGGAAGAGATTCTGCGGGGCGGCGCTATGACTTCCGTCCAACGAGGCGGTCTCGGCGTCTGTCTGTTCGGCGGTCCCCAGAGGCACAGCTGAGTCTATCTCATCGTACGAGCGGACGTTCTCCGATCGGCGACGATCTGAGTGTCGAGAAGTCGATCGCAAACCGAGTCCCCGAAGATCGTCCGTCGGTGGCAGACGGTCGGTGCCCTCAGCCTCGCACGCCAAGTACATACAAGATCCGTTGGCTCCGGCCGTTCTCACCAGACGGACGAGATGAGAGTCGATGTCGTCCGGGTCCATGAAGAGGGAGATTCGATGGTTTTGGTTGGTGCCTTCTAATTGCCGAAAGGGACGACAAGTGACTCGTTTCCATGCAAGGAAAAAACTTCACTTTAAACCTAGTCTACCCTCACATAGTTCCGCGGGTGACGGAAACTCGCTCCCAACCTGTGGAGACTTAATTTTATTTTGTATGAAAGTGGGTGTGATTGAAAGATTTGTCCGTTCATCTCACCGAAAGACGATAGCCGATTCCCTTTGTTCTGCAGCCGAAGTTGAGGCAGATCATAAGGCATTCTCCGTCCTTTCGGATAAAAACGGGCTGAGCTTTCCTCCATCAAATGACGTGCCTCATCAAAGCTGGAACAGATTCTTATAAAAGTCTCAAGTTAACAAGCAAACTCAAAAAAACAGTCTGACTCTATCCTAACTCATAAGTATACTCATAAATAAAAGCGAAAATGTATGGACATAGAGAAATATAGAATGATTTGGCTAATTCCCTTTTATATTAATCATACTACTTTTACCTAATTGTATAAATAAATATATATGTGTGTGTTTGTGTGAGCGCCTATACGTAATCCCAGCCCTAAATAAGATTGACTAAAAAAGCCTAACGTCAGGTTTGCATCAACAAGGCTTAATGGACCAAGAAAAATTGCTGAATGAGATTGCGTAAGTCCACAAACAACTCTTATTGAATGATTTAGTCGTAAGCTTGTAAACGTGTAAGTCAGAGTTTGAAAGCATTCGTTATAAACCGTCATTTTGGAAGATGGTGTGGAAGTTTGATTTGAAAGAGGATTGATTTTTGCTTTTCCGAATTAAGGTAGCCATTCTCTGGACATACTTGTTGAATTACTTAGCTTATCAGATAGATTGTAGATATGAAGACTGAGATGGTGTGGACTTCTGCTTGGTCGCAATCTTCTTTAGCTTTATAGTGTTGGTTTGACTTCATTTTCGCAACTTGGTCGAAGTGTCAGAGAGACCTTGTGGAACCTATATTGTCCAGTGTTCTCTGACAATATTTTTGATTTCCAGCATCGGACCATTGACTTGGTACATCCCCAAACATTTCGCCTGCATCGTTAGTGAAAGCTGCCATCGTCAGCACAGAGTTACAACTTATCAAAGTGACGAGTGACTTTTGGTAATATTTATTTTTAAATTCTCCAGTTTGTAAAATTGCTTCCTCGGTGGGTAGTTTCAGAGAAAAGCAGGCTAATGAGGAGCATCCAGAGATCATACAAGGAATAAGGTTGAGAATAGCCTGTATACTTAGACTTCTTAATGTATCCATGAGTAGCATCTGTTTTACTTTTGATGGCAAGTTTTATGAACAGACACAAGGACTTGCGATAAGATCTTATTTATTCACCATCTTGGCGAACAACTATATGGCCAAATTTAAGAAACTCGTATTGGAAGAGGCAATACTAACCCTCAAATTGTGGGTTAAATACATAAATGGTCATTTTGTCATCTGGCCTTATGGTAAGGAAAGTTTAGATAGTTTCCTACTTTCACTTAGGCAACGTGATAGAAACATTAGATTTACGATAGAAATAGAATAGAATAGGTCTTTATCTTTTTTGGATGTTCTTGTCATAAGAGAAGAGGGTAAATAATGAAGTGAAGTTTATAGGAAGCCAACATATGTTGGGTCTTTTCGGAATTTATTTACCAACTATAGCTAAAAAACTAGGTTTGTAATCTTAAAGTCAATTATTATTAGTAGTGTAAGACAAGGGGGTAGCAACCATTTGGAATGGCTCAAAGATTAATTCCTGGAAAATAATTATCTATTGGACTTAATCATTAATAATATCTCTTTACTGAGGAATAAATTTTCAGACGGTGACTATATAGTCAGACAAGCTGAGACATTTTCTCATGTCCTAATGTTGACGTCATTCCTTCTTTCTAAGATGGGCGAACTAGTGAGAAAATGGAGGATAACAGCTATGTTCAAAGAAATCCTCACATATTCTTCGGTTATGCCATTTTTAGAAAGAAATATCAGGATGCTACAAGATTGTGTGCTCCTGTTGGTGATACATACCGCCCTCCTCTACGAAGATTAGGGAAACAAAAATGCTTGTAAAGGGAGCTGGGTCCAACGGTCAGAAGTGACCGAACTCACAGGCCAGGGACTGTACATAAGATAGAATCGTTTCATGTACGTATATTTGCTGATCATGGTACGTCTGTCGTTGAAAGGAAGATAATAGAGGCTATTGAAATGGATAGGTTATGGAAGCTGTTAAATGGTAAGAAATGGAGTAAGAAGGAGAAAGAGGATGTTGCGCCGCCATCCAAAAAAAGGCGACTCAACTTATCCGCTTAGTGATGCTTCTAACTTCACTCATACTCGTCCAACATGTTAGACTAATAGAAGTGGGTTGACATCGTTGTCGCAACTTGGTCTTGTTGTCAGGGCGACTTAGTAGAACGCACCTAGTCCGAAGTCGTCTGCCAGGTAGTTGTCATAAGTCCCAGCATCTGCCAGTGGACTTGGTACATTCTCAAACATTTCGCCAGCATCATCACTGAGTTTTGCCGATCTCTACACCGAGCTACGAACTCGTCAAAGAGACAAGTGAAGTCAATCCCTCGACAAATGTTCTGCCGAAAACTGTTACACTATCCCTCCTCTTTCTGTCCTGGCCTATCTATCTACTCTTTACCCTCTTATCCAACTCCCACCCTACCAGAGGCCATAACATCTTGTTCTTCATACATTTAATGTTATATTAAGCTCATCAACCAAGCCAGACGTACCAGATAATGCAGCCCCAGTCATTTCTTTCTTTGGGTGGCTAAACCTTAATGACTCCAGACTCAGAGGTTGGGACAAGTAGTTTTGCAACCTGACTTACAGTTACAGACATACATATCATTATTTCAACGATAATTGCCTACGGACTTACGCAGTCTAGGTCAGGGTTTCATCTTGGGTCATTAAGCTTAGATGACTAGATCCTGATATTAGCCTTTTTATCACTGATTTAAGACCAATATTGCCTATAGACGTTAACACACACATACACACGCACTTACACACACTTGAATAAGAATAACATGACCAATATGAAAGATAATTCATAAAACCATTCTGTATCTAGCTAAGCCTAATTATCCTCGTTTTTTAGTTATGAGTATGTATAAGAGGTAGGATAGAGTCGGTTAGTCCTCTTGACATAGTGCTAACTTGGGACTATAGAATGAGTTCCAGCTCTGTTGATGTCCATCATATGACGGATAAAAGCTCATCCATTTTTCACCTGAAATGAGGGAGGATGTCTCGTAGACTGCGTCCACCTGAAGATAATATTTGTACCAAATAGTTGCAGTAAAACTGGAAGCAGCCGTTGCCTTTTGATAAGATAAAACTTCGAATCTCTTCGTTACGCATTTTCATACAAAATGATGATCTTTCCAGAAGTGTTATCACAGGAGATTCATCGAAACCCAGTTACTCTTCGTCTTTACGGCGATCCAGTAGTTGAATTTTCCCATAATCATATGAATAGCCTTCCTGCCTCTATTGAATTTCGCATAGCCTTGCTCCCTGAAGATCCATTTTCATACAGGCTTAACTGATCTCAGCAACCTCAGTGAGACTCAAACCTAGACAGGGCGGCGTAAGGCCTACTTATATGATTGTGTAAAAATTGAACTAGCAGTCATTTATCACAGTTACTAAAATAGGATGAATAGCTTAAGTTAACATAAAGTTAAACAGCTCTTCGTATCTACCTTTATGAATATGCTTTTTCTCATTCCACTGACGTTTTCACCGGCTATCAGGCATTAGGTCAGATAGAAAAGGATTTTTGCTTTTTCTCCTTCCTCTCTTGCGATTAATCACAAACACACCATCACTCACACACCTACTCACGCATCCACATGTCCACGCACAAATACTCTCTTACACACACGTACAGGTAAACGTACACAGGCCCACACACATAAGCACCAATGTATACATACGTACGAACACGTACACAAACATCGTGCCACATAACGGGCATCATTAGAACTCATTCTAGCAGAAATTTCAAATAAACACTAAGTCAAGAAATTTTAACTAGAATCTTTTGTAGAAATGAGTTCTAGCTCTGATAATGTTCGTCATGTGGCATAAGGTCTGTGTACATTTTTGTATGCGTGGGTGTGTGTATGTATGTGTTATTAAGCATATGGGATAAAGAGGAGAAAGTAAAAATCACTTCCAATCCGACAAGATTCCAGCTAGATAAGGAAATCGTCAATGGAAGGATAAAACACCATATTTTTAGAAGTGGGTGGGAGACTGCGACCATACCAGAGGCCGCAAAATCTTGGTCTTCATATCTACCATATGTTTAGCTCCAGTGCAGTCTGGGTGCGTGAAAAATAGATATAGTAAATGCTTGATTTTGTATTCATTTAAAACTTTATAGGTAATAAATTCCAGCTCTGTTTATGTATATATATATACCCCAAAATGAGGAAGGATTTCTCGTGGACTGCGTCAACCCGAACGTCGTAATAAAGGCAAACACAGCTGCGGAACAACGGAGAGCGGCCGTTGTCTTTCCGTGAGGTCAATCAATGCTCCTCTTCATCCCGCACACAGTCTTCCGAAATGGAAGTCTCCACAACAATTTATCTCAGGTGCTTCATCGAAGCCCAGCAACTCTTAGCACCTAGCAACCGATAGCTTGACCGACTGACTTTGAATCCGAGAGACTGCAGTTTCCTTGCACTCGGGATTCCAAAGGCCAGAAACATTCAGGCCCAATGAAATTTGAACGGTATAAATAGATTTTCGAGACTTTCACTAATTATTGAATAAGAGCCTAGTTACTCCAGGTTACTTAAAGTGATTTAAACGACCCAGTGTGATTAAGCTCTTATTCCATACAGACATAACAGTTAAAAACACACACCTTGAAATGTCGACTGTTTGACCAACGGAGGCCGCTTGGATGAGGCATAGTCAATTACGGAGATCTAATGTAAAGATAAAAAAGCGAATAACACGTTAATTCGAAAAAGATCTGCAAAGTAACTGTTGAATTTCCATTCCAAAGCACAATTTACCACCTTAATAAATCTTATCCGAAGATAATCCAATCAGCATAATAAAATTTTTTCTTTTGTTTTGTAAGTAGGTCTTTGAGACTTCCAGTAAATCATATATATGAAATATATTCACTCTATTTTTGTCTCGAAAATCTATCTATAAAACGAAAAAGAAGTAGTCTAGTCGATTGCCATAACAAATACGACTTTGCCTTATTTACAATTCCACCGCAAAATGAGATATTGTTAAATGCCTGACCTTCCTTGAAATTAACATCTAACCTGTGACCTAAAGGCACTCATGGCAGTTCAGTATATCATCAAAGTAAATGCAAAACCATAATGTGTCAGTTTCTTCCTCTTACTTTTTTACCCAAAGTGTATATAAAAAATGTTGATACATTTTCATGTAACCCTAGTATTGTGCCATAATATCATTATATTATGAAGTCGAAATGGTACTGGTAGTATAAATGAATAATACGATATGTCCAACTAACATTTTGACAATGTGCGGAGTAATCACGAAACAGTTTTCGTGATTAGGTTCTATTTCTGAAAAGTTCACATTTTCTCATATTTTCGCATGATTAAATTGCGGTACATTAATCATGCAATATGCCTATCTGTATATTTACTCTTGATTGAACTATTTACATTGTTTCATTTGCCGAATGACACTTTTTTGAGGTTTTCATCCTCTTAGCTTTATACTTGCTCGTTTATATGCTGCCGTTCTTTAGCCATATAAATTTGATTCCAAAGGAAATGATAGTGTAACTGGCCCCAGATAAATAAAAAATTAATATGCATTATAAATCGCTAGGCCATGTATTCCAAAATAGGTTTTATCCTGGATTTAACGTCTCGCCAGAAATCCAGTGGAATTACAACCACCGACGTGAAGGTTATGATGCGAACAGGATCCGAGACCCATTTACCCTTACAGCTAGTATTACTTTAAAGAAAATGATATAGTGGAGGATATTGTATATTTATGTGCTTTTTGACATTGAATCCCAAATGCTTCTGAATTATTACTAATAATAATGTAGTCGATGTGAAAAGCTTGATTCTTCATGGTACACACTTACCTTCACCTAGAGTGTTCTAGCATTTTCGTTTGATAATTTTCTATTTTAAATTTTTTTTAACAAAACCTTTATTTGGTATATTATCATAATGCAAAGAAAAGTTGGGTTTTCAGGAATCTTTTGTTTCATAATTGCTGTGCTTATTTCCATTTCGAGTGAAAGTGTCTGGTGAAGAGATTCGAAGTTTGGTTCCACCAAAAGACGACGGTGGATTCCTCTTGACCAGCTGTCGATTGGCTTTATGGACATTCATGCCGACGCTGTTTCCGAGGTAATCTCCTGCGATTCCAGCGAAAAGATGCTAAGCCTTCGTCCGTCACATGACGAACATCATCAGAGCAAGTAATCATCATCACAACCAAATTCAAGCTAACGAGTCATGAAAAGTCACTGGCAAATCCCTAAAAAGCGGTATATATACTCTATATTTGGTCTCTGATCAGTTATAAAATGATTTGGTTAGTTACGGTCACGTGTTAACTTCGAAGCCTGTTCGTGTGTTTGTCTCTGTATGCGTATGTGCCCGTTTGTGTTCGCTTATGCACGAAAGCCGAAGTGATGGCTCAAATTAATTAGAGCAGCGAAAGTAACGTCTGTTTTCGGCCATCAAGGTTTGATGACCACTATCTCTCCCTTTCCACATGCATGTTATAACCATTACTTTGATTGCGCAAGGTCGGACACGTCTAGTTTTGTTTTTGGTCGCAATGCGAGAGAGCTAGAGTGAGCTCAAAGAACAGAGAAGTGACTATGATTAGAAGAAAGACAAGAAAAGCCTAGTTGAGTCGCCTCCTTTTGCAAGCGGCTCAACTCGCTGTGTTTCCTTAAGTCTATTAATTAATATGAGATGTATTTACCGTATTTCGTGTTAGGTGATGAAGGACTGGTAGTAGAATTTTTCCACAATGATATGAGTAGAGCTGACGTTTCTGTTGAATTTCACATAGCCTTGCTTTCCCAGAAGTTGTTCTCATCTCGGCTGGAGTGAAATTAAGTTTTGACCTCACATTGGTCTTATCAACACCCCAAGCGGGAGTCGAACCGTGACAGTGCAGAATGTGAGCTTCACATGTTAACCACTCGGTCACATTGCCACGAGTGCCACTGAGTCACAGGGCAGGTATGAAATTCAAGGAAGATCAGGTCTTTTCTCATATCACATTCTTTGGTTGGATTGTCGATGAAGCAAGCGTATATTTGCTATATCAATCGACTACGTTATATATTTTTCGTATTTAAGTAGAGTTTTGAGATTACCAGTAAATTAGTAATATTAGACGTAGTCTTGAAACTCTACTGAGACACGAAAAAAAATTAACGTAGTGATTGTTATAGCAAATATACGTTTCCTTCATATACAATCCCACCCAAACATGTGATATGAGAAAAGACCTGGCCTTCCTTGAATTTCACATCTGCCCTGTGACCCAGTGGCACTCGTGGAAATGTGACCGAGTGGTTAACATGTGAAGCTCACATTCTGCACTGTCACGGTTCGACTCCCGTTGGGGGTGTTGATAATACCGATGCGAGGTCAAAACTGAAGTTTACTACAGGCGAGATGAGAACAACTTATGGGAAAGCAAGGCTATGTGAAATTCAACGAAAACGTCAACTCTACTTATATCACTGTGGGAAAATTCTACTACCAGTCCTTAATCATCTAACACGAAATACGAGAATACACGAAGGTAAAGGCAAAACATGAGAAAAGGTCTCCTTATCTCTCCTTACGTATTCGCCATTCAAAAAGCTATATTTTATTAATCTAGTGCTATTTTCAATCAAGCCTAGGAGATAATTATTCTCAAGAAATATTATTTTAAGCTGATCCATTCATTTTCACAATGGTCTCTATCGGCTAATCCTATGCTCAGAATAATCATAGATTTTAAAACTTCAATCTTCGTTTTGTAACTATGCTTGGAGAAGCCAGCATGTGTTGGCTTTCTATAGACATCCCTGCTTAACTTCTCACCTGCTCTGATCACTGACACATCTAGAAATGGTAAAGAAGTGTTGATCTCCATCTCCATTGTCAACTTAACATTGCAGTCAATCTGGTTAAATAAAAACAAGAAATTATCTCAACTATCCTTGCCATACTGCCATATGGCAAAATAGTCATCCATGTATCTAACTAACAGTTTGGCTTTCAATCTTACCTCTTCCATGAAGTGTTACTCCTTTCTTGACATGTAATTATTAGCTAAATTGGGAGCTAAACGGATCCCATTGCTAGGCCCTGCTCCTGTTCATAAACCTTATCAGTAAAGCTAAAGTATGCGTTGCTCGTGGCTAGATTAAAAAGCCTTAAGATTGAGCTTTTTTATAACACTTGTGAATAGCTCAAATCTCACCATTTTGGCAAGCCCATTACACAACGGAACCTCACACATCTATCAGCAGCCAACCTTACAACCACACAAATGACTGGCCCCGTGACTTCTCCAGGGTGCTGTCTACCTCTCTCATGATGACAGCCTCCGCGATAGTATTGTAACAAGGCGATCTGACGCTGACACACCCAGTGTCTACCTTGACGTAAAAATGGTTCCAGCGACCGCTTTTTGAGTCCGCATCTACAGAAAGACCTCCGTTTGCTATGCAAAATCAAAGTAAATTTGCAGCAGGACCGACGTCAAGTTTGGATAAGCACCGTATTCACCCTCACTCGCAAAAGGTGATGATGAAGGAGTGATCGTTGAAGCTTTCTATAATTAAATGATTAGGCCTCACAATTCAAGTGAACTTCGCTTAACGTCGCCTCCCGAAAGCAATTTTCATCCAAAGTGGACTAGTGTCTCATCAACAACCCCAACGGGACCCGAACTTGCGTTTGATGCAGCAACCTTTTTTCCGCTACGCCATATTGCCACGAGTGCTAGTTGGCCATGTAAAAGAGGGGAATTTTAACACAAGCTGGGCTTCTTTCATATTGCTCTTTGTAGTTCTGTCACTACGGAGACATGTAGACTTCAAACTACATATTATAAACAGCCAGCTTTGTACAACTTATGATTCGTGTGAAATCTGAGCACCACCTTCTTCCGCCTCCTAACGGTTTGAGGACGGTTTTCAAGGCGTAACTCGTCGTAAAGGGACTGAATAGTTTCAAGTCTGTCAAGTTAAGAGCACTAGTCAGCCGAGGTCGTTGGTAATGCATTTTTCCAAAATCCAATGAGTAGATTAATTTCACCTTACGTGACTAAATTATACACTGCACCAGCCGAGCTCGACCCAGTTGAGGTGGAAACTGATGTTCATTCTAACCGGGAAGATAATAGCGTTTGAGAGGCATGGCTAGGTGAACTTCAATGGCGTTGTGAGACTTAGTCAACTCTTTGTGGTTAAGTGTTGGTTCGAACTCGTTTTCGTAACTTGGTCGGAGCGTCAGGGAGACTTTGTGTGCCATAGTATTCGTGATTTCCAGTATTGGGCCATTGACCTGGCACATTCCCAAACGTTTCACCAGCATCGTCACATCAAAGTGACGAGTGATAATTGTAAGTCTGTGCTGACGAGGACACCTCTCATTGACGATGCCGACTACGATGCCGGCGAAACGTTTGAGAATGTACAAAGTTGGTGGTCCGATGATGAAAATCACGAATACTATGGAATATTATGGGAAAATTTTTCTACCAGTCCTTGATCACCTCAAACGAAATTGGGTGAATACATCTCATATTACTGATTTACTGGTAGTCTCGAAACAATACTTAAATGCGAACAATAGAGGACACAGAAGCAGATACGTTCCAAAAGGTATCCCTGACGTTTCCACCAAGCTAAGAAAACGATGTCGAACCAACACTATAAAGCTAAAGGAGAGTGTGACCAAGAAGAAGGTCACTCTATCTTGTTCTCCCCATCTACGATCAATTTGGTTAAATTCATTATAAACTTGTCGTAAGGTTAAGCGATCTAGGCTGGCCAAATCTCTTAATAAAGACGACTTAAGTAGATTTCAAACCATCCAGTCCCCTTTTGACGAGTTGTGCCTTGCAAACCGTTATGAGGCGGAAGAAGGTGGTGCTCAGATTTCACATGGATCAGAAGTTGTACAAAGCTGGCTGCCTATAATATGTAGTTTAAAGTATACATGTCTCCTTAGTGACAGAACTACAAAGAGCAATATGGAAGAAGCCCAGCTTGCGTTGAAATTCCCCTCTTTTCCATAGCCAACTAGCAATCGTGGCAATATGGCGTAGTGGAAAAAATGTCGCTGCATCAAACGCAAGTTTGAGTCCCGTTAGAGTTGCTGATGAGACACTCTAGTCCACTTTGGGTAAGCATTACTTTTGGAGGCAAGGTGAGGCGATGCATTTCATCCTGTCCAGTCTACAAGTCTGGAGGAAGTTGTGCTGAGGTCGTACAGGGATCAGAGGGTGTACAAAGTTTTGTGTGTGTGTGTGTGTTAGTGATGAAGGTATATGGAGGTGGCATGAGTAGAGCGGGCGGATATGTAAGCCTGAACAGGAATAGGACAGCCGAGATAACTTAAACCTACGCCTGGTTTGAATGTCGGCCTCCGACTGGGGCAAGAAGACCCAATCTGGAAGGTCCATACATTGGAATCTGTATAGTGATGAGATTCGATTGGTCGACGCAAAAGGGGAAGGCAAATAGTATTTATTTGTTTATAAGTGGAGTTTCGAGTATTTTTTTGAACTGAGTTTGGGGAAATAGCCTGTAAAAATGTGATTTGTTCAGGAATTACTAATAGTCTCGAGTACTACTTACAGTGAAAATAAGTAACTTTGCCGGCTTCAATGGAAGACACATATTACCTCATCAAAAATTCCGGTTGTCCTGTAGCTGAGGGCTTAATGACCTGGTCAGGTTTTTCCTAAACGGAGGACCGTCCAACTTGTACCCTCGAGGATGCCAAAAGGGATGAGGTGGCCTACGAGATTGTGGCCGACAGAAAGAGGAGACGCATTATGATGCATGCCTTTGACGACCACGAGGATAGCAGCCGGACTGAAGATGAAAAGCTGTCATAGTAATTGGTACCAGGCTAAAGGGGAGGCGAGCGTCGGGACGAGTAAGACCGCTGATATAATAAGGGAAGATTTGTGAACCAGGGCGACGCAAACAAGGCGCAAGGACATTGCAGGCGATGGCGGCCCGCAGTGACGAAAGCCGGCCGCCGTAGGACAGGCAAGGTCCGAGATAAGTCACAAATCCAAAGTACCTTCTACTTGAGATGCATGAGTGATGTAAAAGCTGACTTCGGATTGGTTCAAGGG